AATAATAATAATAATAATAATAATAATAATAATAATAATAAATTAATAATAATCCAGGAATTCTCTGGATGAATTCCCCCTGTCCCCCTCAGCTGGTATTTTTAGGGATTTAGGGAAGGAGCAGGGATTTGTATTCCCAATCTCCCAGCCCAGAGCGATCCCTGGGGAAGCTGAGCAGGGCTTGACCCCAAAATCCCATTTTATTTTTCGTGCAGCGACAGCAGGAGGGATGAAAAAATAAGGGGGAAAAAGCTAAATTTAACAGGAAATAGGAAAAAAAGAGGAATTGAATCCTTGGATGAAGGGAAGGATTGAGGCCTGGCTGATCCCACCCTCCCCGGCCTCCTGTTGGGCCCTGGGCCTGCAGGAAACCCTGGCAGGTTCTTCCCTAAAAATCAAATTTTCCAGCTTCCCCTGGGATCAGAACTCTCTGTGTGGGAGCAGAATTGGATTTAAATTCAGGATTTGTCATTTCCTCGCCTCTCCCACCTCGTTTTGGGCTGAGATGAATTAACCCCGCTCTGCCCTTCCACCAGGCCTCGCTTCCAGGGATTTGAAAATTCCTTAATTCTTTAAAATCCCCGGAGTTTGGGAAGGAGGTGTTGGCCTCACCCAGCCCAGGGATCTCTCTCCAAGGTGGTTTGGAAGATTCCAGAGGCAGAATTCCAGCTCTGGATAATTTCACAAAGCCCTGGGATGGAGGGAGTGGAGTTATCCCAAATTCCTCCAGCTGGAAAACTGAAGGAGATAAGGAATTCTCACCTCAGGGTTTTCTTTTTCTTCTGGAAGTCCCTTCCTGAGCTGGAGGAGTGAAAAATTGGGGATTTTTCCCCAAAAAGAGAGGCAGGATAAGGGTGAGGTGGGGGCAGAGGTGTTTGTGTCTCTTTATCCTTCACCCTGCTTTCTCCAAATCCCAGGATTTGGGATGTGAGGTTCTTCCCTCTGCATTTTCCTGCCTGCTGCTTCTCCCTTCTAAATATTCCTGCTGTTTTCCCCGCCTCCAGCTCCTCTCCACCTTCCAGCTCTGCACACAGACAGAGAGCAGCTCCCAAAATCCTGAGAATTCCTGAGAATTCCTGAGAATTCCTGAGAATTCCTGAGAATTCCTGCTCTGCACACAGATAGAGAGCAGCTCCCAAAATCCTGAGAATTCCTGAGAATTCCTGAGAATTCCAGCTCTGCACACAGACAGAGAGCAGCTCCCAAAATCCTGAGAATTCCTGAGAATTCCTGAGAATTCCTGAGAATTCCAGCTCTGCACACAGAGAGCAGCTCCCAAAATCCTGAGAATTCCTGAGAATTCCTGAGAATTCCAGCTCTGCACACAGATAGAGAGCAGCTCCCAAAATCCTGAGAATTCCTGAGAATTCCTGAGAATTCCAGCTCTGCACACAGACAGAGAGCAGCTCCCAAAATCCTGAGAATTCCTGAGAATTCCTGAGAATTCCTGAGAATTCCTGAGAATTCCTGCTCTGCACACAGACAGAGAGCAGCTCCCAAAATCCTGAGAATTCCTGAGAATTCCAGCTCTGCTCAGAGATGAGTCTCCAAAAATCTGAGAATTCCTGAGAATTCCTGAGAATTCCAGCTCTGCACACAAAAAGCAGCTCCCAAAACCCAGAGAATTCCTGAGAATTCCTGAGAATTCCTGCTCTGCTCACAGACAGAGAGCAGCTCCCAAAACCCAGAGAATTCCTGAGAATTCCTGAGAATTCCATCTCTGCTCAGAGACCAGTCCCCAAAAACCAGAGAATTCCTGAAAATTCCTGAAAATTCCTGAAAATTCCAGCTCTGCTAAGAGACCAGTACCTGAAACCCAGAGCATTCCTGAGAATTCCTGAGAATTCCTGAGAATTCCAGCTCTGCACACAAAGAGCAGCTCCCAAACCCCAGAGAATTCCTGAGAATCCCTGAGAATTCCTGCTCTGCTCAGAGACCAGTCCCCAAAAACCAGAGAATTCCTGAAAATTCCTGAAAATTCCAGCTCTGCTAAGAGACCAGTACCCGAAACCCAGAGCATTCCTGAGAATTCCTGAGAATTCCAGCTCTGCTCAGAGAGCAGCCCCAAAAACCAGAGAATTACTGAAAATTCCTGAGAATTCCTGAGAATTCCTGAGAATTCCTGAGAATTCCAGCTCTGCACACAGACAGAGAGCAGCTCCCAAAATCCTGAGAATTCCTGAGAATTCCTGAGAATTCCTGAGAATTCCTGAGAATTCCTGCTCTGCACACAGATAGAGAGCAGCTCCCAAAATCCTGAGAATTCCTGAGAATTCCAGCTCTGCTCAGAGATGAGTCTCCAAAAACCAGAGAATTCCTGAGAATTCCTGAGAATTCCAGCTCTGCACACAAAAAGCAGCTCCCAAAACCCAGAGAATTCCTGAGAATTCCTGAGAATTCCTGCTCTGCTCACAGACAGAGAGCAGCTCCCAAAACCCAGAGAATTCCTGAGAATTCCTGAGAATTCCAGCTCTGCTCAGAGACCAGTCCCCAAAAACCAGAGAATTCCTGAAAATTCCTGAAAATTCCTGAAAATTCCAGCTCTGCTAAGAGACCAGTACCTGAAACCCAGAGCATTCCTGAGAATTCCTGAGAATTCCTGAGAATTCCAGCTCTGCACACAAAGAGCAGCTCCCAAACCCCAGAGAATTCCTGAGAATCCCTGAGAATTCCTGCTCTGCTCACAGACCGAGACCAGCTCCCAAAACATCCGCGTGTTCCTGAGGATCCGTGAGCATCCCAATCCCAGCTCCTCCTGCCGGAATCGCTGCTTTTCCTCTCTCCTGCTTTTTAAGATGCAGCATCCAGCCCTGGACAGATGGGAAGCTGTCAGCACCAGGCGGGATAATCACCCACTGGAGCAGCTCCGGAGCAGCTCGGAATCCACAGCAGCTCTGCTTTGTGATCTTCCCTGGGCTGTTATTCCTTGGAAAAATTGGAATATTTTGGTAGGTTTTGGTTCCCAAAGTTGCTGGAAACGTGGCCCGGCCTGCACGGTGGGGATGCCAAAAATGGCAAAACTCTTAATTAATCTGATCATTTATTCAAGCTTTTGGGTTTGGAATGGTGGGATTGTGGGATTGTGGGATTGTGGGATTGTGGGATTGTGGGATTGTGGGATTGTAGAATTGTTCAGGCTGGAAAGGAGCTTTGAGCCAATGAGTCCAACAAAACCAGTCCTGGTGTCCAGCACCAGCCGCTGGCCCCAGGTGCCGCCTCCGTGGGTTTTTGGGATGTTTCCAGGGATTTTCCGTGAGGAAATTCCTGCTGATGTCCGACCTGAGAGCCCCTGACACATCCCGAGGCTGTTCCATCTGCTCCTGTCCCTGTTCCCTGGGAGCAGAGCCCCAATTCCCCCGGCTGTCCCCTCCTGCCAGGGACTTGTGTGGAGCCAGAAGGTCCCTCCTGATCCCTCTTTTCTCCAGGATAAACATTCCCAGCTCCCTCAGTCGCTCCTGGGGCTCCAAACCCTTCCCAGCTCCATTCCCGATGTTCCAAATCCTTCCCAGCTCCATTCCCACTGCTCCAAACCCTTCCAGGATCCATTCCAGGTGCTCCAAACCCTTCCCAGCTCCATTCCCACTGCTCCAAACCCTTCCAGGATCCATTCCTGATTCTCCAAACCCTTCCCAGCTCCATTCCCAATGTTCCAAACCCTTCCCAGCTCCATTCCCACTGCCCCAAACCCTTCCCAGCTCCATTCCCGATGTTCCAAATCCTTCCCAGCTCCATTCCCACTGCTCCAAACCCTTCCCAGCTCCATTCCCAATGTTCCAAACCCTTCCCAGCTCCATTCCCACTGCTCCAAACCCTTCCCAGCTCCATTCCCAATGTTCCAAACCCTTCCCAGCTCCATTCCCACTGCCCCAAACCCTTCCCAGCTCTATTCCCGATGTTCCAAACCCTTCCCAGCTCTATTCCCACTGCTCCAAACCCTTCCCAGCTCTATTCCTGATTCTCCAAACCCTTCCCAGCTTCATTTCATCCCTCCCTGCAACTTGAGGCACAATAAATCCATTTTAAATCCATTTTAAATCCATTTTAAATCCATTTCAAATCCATTTCAAATCCATTTCAAATCCCAAATCCCAGCTCCCACTCGCACCCAGAGCCGAATCCTGCCTGGAATATTCAGATTCCGAGCGTCTCTTTGAGATTTTATTCCTCCACCCACGGGCTCTGCCGGAGCAATCTGCTCCCTCCTCCCGTTAATTACGGCTCAAGACGCTGCTTTGGACCTGGGCTTGCATTTCCAGGCGAAAAATCCTGCCCAAATTTGATTATCGGAATAACGAGCTAAGGAGCAGGAGAAAATTAAAAATGAAGAGGGGGAAAATTCCAGAATCCAACAGTTTTTGTGGTGGGGGGAAAGAAAGTTTAATTCCCTCTGGATTTGGGATTTTGGGGGGTTTTATTTCCTTCAGTTTAGGGTCAGATCTGTGGGATTATTTCACAGGGAGGAGTAGAAAACCCCAAGAGATCCCGGACCAAAGCCTTCCTTGGGATCTGGGATCCCAAAATCCATCCAAACCCAGGTGCTGGTCCCAGAAATGAAACCAAAATGAGAAACAAACTGAAAATGAGGATTTTTATGGGGGTGATTTTCAGTTTTCCCGCGATGTCCGGGCGCTCCTCAGGGATCTGAAAACCCCCAAGGACGAGCTTGGATTTCCTCCAGGATTTATCCCGGAGCTCTGCCCTTCCAACCCTCTCCGTTCCCGTTGCATCCGTGGCCATCAGAGGACGCGTTTTGGCGGAATCTCAGATTTATTTTCCCCCCTCTCCTCATCTCCTTCAGGGCCAAGGGTCACAATTAGCAATTTAATGAGCTAATTAAGCGCCCAAAAGCGCAGCAAAGCCGCGGGCCCCGCGCTCGTCCCGGAGGTGAATCCTCGGCGGGGTTTTGGTCTCAAAATAACCCGAATTTCCCTTTCCTGGGAGCTGGGGGTGGAAGGGGAAGCTGGGAAGGGAGAGTTGGAATTGGGGAGGGTTGGAAAAACAGAGGAAGGGTGGGAAAAGCGGGAATGGCAGCAGGGCCACGAGGGCAAAATGAAAATGTCGACGGAAGGGGAAAGGGAGAGCGGAGAAAGGGACGGAGGGGGTGGGAGAGGAGCCCTGGGTGCCTCTCCTGGGACACCACGGAATCTCTTCCCGCTCCGGAGGCGCCGGCACGACGTTCCCGAGCACAGAGCCCCAAAAATCCTCCCTGCTGCTCCAGCCAAGCCCACAGGGAGATTCCCCCACATTCCCAGCCCCCGGCAAGGCTCCAGCAGAAGAGGGAAGAGGAAAAACAACCAAAAACAACCAAAAAAAGGGCAGAAATCCCCACCAAGCTGGAAAAATCGGCCGCTGTTTCTTTGTTTTCCCGGCGTGTCCAGCCGGGAATCCGCGAGGATCCGGGCAGGCCCGGCACGGATCCCCTCCCAAAATTCCTCCCCCCAAAAAAAAATCTCCTTCTTGGGATCTTCTCCCTCTCCTCGCCGCTCCTTTTCCAAGAGGGGACAGATTCGTGGGGCGAGGGAAGATTCCGGCGCTTTGGGATGCGGGAGGCTCAGGATTCCTGGGGATTCCTTGGGATTCCTGGGGATTCCTTGGGATTCCTCGGGAGAAGCGCTCAGCACTGCTCGGCCTCCACAAATCCCTCTTTTTCCTGGCTGGCCGCCTCCACCTCGGCGTACGAGGAGGGGTTGGAGCGGTTCCGGAATTTCATGGCGGGCCAGCGGTGCGGCCTCCGCTGGGGACGGAAACAGAGGAGTGAGGAAAATTCCATGAAAAATAACATTAAAGGGACGATTCGCAGGTTTCCCGCGGTCTCCAGGATGGAGACAGAGAAAATTCCAGAGGAATTCTCTGGCTGGAGACAGAAAATTCCAGAATTCTCCAGCTGGAGAGAGAAAATTCCAGAAGAATTCTCCAGCTGGAGAAAGAAAATTCCAGAAGAATTCTCTGGCTGGAGACAGAGAAAATACCAGAAGAATTATCTGGAATTATCAAATCCAGGGATTTGGGCTGGGTTGGGGAGACAGATCCAAGGATTTGGGCTGGGTTGGAGAACACAGATCCAAGGATTTGGGATGTGTTGGGAAGACAGATGCAGGGATTTGGGATGAGTTGGGAAGGATGTGGATCCAGGGATCTGGGATGGGTTGGGAATACAGATCCAAGGATTTGGGCTGGGTTGGAGGACACAGATCCAAGGATTTGGGCTGGGTTGGAGGACACAGATCCAAGGATTTGGGCTGGGTTGGAGGACTCAGATCCAAGGATTTGGGCTGGGTTGGAGGACACAGATCCAGGGATTTGGGCTGTCCCAGCTGCAGGGAAGTGAGGATGGGGAGCACGGGAGGATCTGACTCACCTCGATGAGGAACAGGGCGGCGCTGGACGTGGGGTGGCCGCTGATGTAGATCCCGGCCAGGATGATCCCGGCCAGGAGCAGCACGGCCACCACAATTCCCACCACGGTGCCCGTGGCCAGCGGGGCGCCGCCGCTCCCGGAGGGAATGCTGCTCCCCGTGCCTGGAAAACGGGATCCGGCTGATCCAGCCGGGCTGAGACCTCGGCAACCCCACCCGGGGACCCTTCCCAGGGACATTCCCGGGGATTTGGGGAGAGGTTTGGTTAAAATTTGGAATGATGTGGATTTGAAAGGCTCCACCCTGCCGGCTGAACTTCCCTGGGAACTGGGATTCGCTCCTGCTCTGCCGACGACCTGGCAGCAGGGGAAGAGGGGCTGGAACCTTCCAGAACCTCTGGAATTAGGCAGCAGTTTGGGGCTGATGGAAAGGCTGAGGCTGAGCCAGGATTCCTGGGAAAATGGAGGGAAAATCCAGGCAAAGGACAATTTATAGCTGGATTTTACCTCGTTTTTATGTCCCAGCCAGAGAAATTCAAAGGAAAAAGAGCTTTGTGTCCATAAAAATATTGTAAATAATGGGAATTATACAGAAGGAGAAAACTCCTGGAGCTGGCAAAGCAGGAGCGAGTGGGAAAAGTGGACAAAGAGCATCAGGATAAAACAGAGTATTCCCAAATTTCCCCTGGCTGGAATTGCGCTGATCAGGGTGAGGACAACGGGAATTGTGTCCTGATCTCTCTGGGGTCCTCCCCACAGCCCCTGTGTGCCCGAATCCAGGGAATCCCGAGTTCCCTTGGAGCAGGGAGGGGGATGAAGGTCCGAATCCAGGGAATCCCGAGTTCCCTTGGAGCAGGGAGGGGGATGAAGGCCTTACCTTCTCCTCCCGCAAACTGATTGAGCTTCGTGTCGTCTGAAAGGAGAAAACAACAAAGTCAGGATGTTCCCGGGATATCCTCGTGATTCCCGCCCCATTCCCTCCCCCTGGGATGGGATCTCCGGATGGTTTTAGATCTCTGTGGGAAAGGGAGGCACCTGGAAAAGCCCAGAGTGGGAGTGGGGTGAGGTTTTCCGTGGCAGAGGGGCACCTGGAGCACAAATATCCCGGGGAAGGGGTCGTTCGCTGTTCCCGGTGGGAGCTTTGATCCATGGCCGGGTGTCCGTGTTCAGCCGATGGAATCTGCGGCCAAAGCATCCCAAAAAATTCCATGGGATGCTCAAAAGCCACTTCCATTCCTTGGCTCATTCTGGAAGGATCTATCGGACAAGGCTTTGTCTCTCAACAGGCTCCACACACCCTCACACGAGGGTGAAATCCCGATCCAGAATTCCTGGATCTTGGTTCAGCCTCCAAATCCCGATCCAGAATTCCTGGATCTTGGTTCAGCCTCCAAATCCCATTCCAGAATTCCTGGATCTTGGTTCAGCCTCCAAATCCCGATCCAGAATTCCTGGATCTTGGTTCAGCCTCCAAATCCCGATCCAGAATTCCTGGATCTTGGTTCAGCCTCCAAATCCCATTCCAGAATTCCTGGATCTTGGTTCAGCCTCCAAATCCCAATCCAGAATTCCTGGATCTTGGTTCAACCTCCAAATCCCATTCCAGAATTCCTGGATCTTGGTTCAGCCTCCAAATCCCATTCCAGAATTCCCAGGGCTCAGCTCAGCCTCCAAATCCCGATCCAGAATTCCCAGGGCTTGGCTGGGCTCCAGTGAGTCAGGCTGTGCCCCAGAGCTCCAGGAGCACATCCAGGGAGCTGGAAGGGCTGGGAAGGACGTGGATCCCAAATCCAGGAATTTGGGCTGGGGGGGAGGACACAGATCCAGGGATCTGGGATGGATGGAGAAGACACAGACCCAAGAATCTGGGATAATGAGGATGTGGATCCAGGGATCTGGGATGAAGGGAATCGCACAGATCCAGGGATCTGGGATGGAGGGGAGGACACAGATCCAGAGATCTGGGATGGAGGGAATCACACAGATCCAGAGATCTGGGATGGAGGGAATCGCACAGATCCAGGGATTTGGCATGGATCGAATCACACGGACCCAGGGATTTGGCATGGATCGAATCACACGGACCCAGGGATCTGGGATGGAGGGAATCGCACAGATCCAGGGATCTGGGATGGAGGGAATCGCACAGATCCAGGGATCTGGGATGGAGGGAATCGCACAGATCCAGGGATCTGGGATGGAGGGAAGGACCCCTCGGGCCCAATCCCCTCCCTCCCCCCGCCGTTTGCTCCTTCCCACATCCCGAATTCTCCTGGCGCCCGTGTCACGCGCATCCTCCCGTTTTCCTGGGCTGGAAAATGTTGGATTCCCAACCCCCCGTGCCTTTCCCCGCTCCTCTCCCAGCCAGCCCCGGCAGGCGCCAGCTCCATTCCCCCACCCGGCTCCTTCCCGGCGCCGAAGGACAATTAGGAGCGCTCCTAATTACCCTAATTAGCACTCGGCGGTAGGGACAATTAAGCAGCCAAATTGCGGCGCTACCTGCGCCAGGATCGGCGGGTCCCGCATTAATGGGATTATGGAGCTGGGGGGTCTCCAGGGAGGATTTTTGTGGAGCAGCATTCCCAAGGAAATGGTGATCGCCGCGGGAATTCCGGCCTTGAGAAATCCCCGAATCCCGGGATCGACCCCTTCAGGATCCCGCGGGTTCTGCCCACCGGGGCTTGGCTGCTTCACAAATGGGGAAAAAAGCTGGAAAAACTGGAAAGCTCTTCCCACCGTGCCTCGCTCCCCCGGCTGGCACCTCTGGGCTGCCCTTCCTGCCCTTTTCCAGCATCTCCTGCTCCCATCCCTCCCCAAGGACGGCGTTTGGAGCGCCCTGGGATAGCGGGATAGCCCTGCCCTTGGAATGGGATGAGCTTGGAGCTCCCTTCCAAGCCAAATCCTTCTGGGATTCCAGATTTTTACAGATCTGGGGGTCTCCGCTGCTCTGTTACAGATGGAGAAATGGACTCGGGAGGGGATTTTGGGGGAGAAATTCCTCTCTGTGAGGGCTGGGATGGAATTCCCAGATTTGCTGGGGCTGCCCCTGGATCCCTGGGAGCGTCCAGGGCCAGGCTGGACATTGGGGTTTGGAGCGGCCCGGGATGGTGGGAGATGTCCCTGGGGGCACTGGAGGGGATTTGAGGTCCTTTCCCATCCCAAACCATTCCCTGATTCTGCTCCAGAGCCCATCCGGTCCTGGGATTTACTCGGATCTGGATTTTCTGAGGCAGTGAAAGGCCTGTCCAGGAATCAGGATCCAGGTTGGGGGATCAATCCCTTGTCCCAGGGATCAGGGATGGGGGGATCCCTCATCCCAGGACTCAGGGATCCCTCATCCTGGGGCTCAGGGGTGTGGAATCACCTCTCTGGGGATCAGGATCAGGAATGGTGGATCCCTTGTCCCAAGGATCAGGATCAGGAATGGGGGATCCCAGGGCTCAGGGATCCCATTCCCAGGGGGCTCAGGGATGGGGGATCCCTTGTCCTGGGGCTCAATGGTGTGGGGTCACCTGCCAGGGATCAGGATCAGAATTGGGGGATCCCCATCCCAAGGATCAGGATCAGGAATGGTGGATCCCTTATCCCAAGGCTCAGGATCAGTGGATCCCCATCCCAGAGATCAGGATCGGTGGATCCCCATCCCAAGGATCAGGATCAGGAATGGTGGATCCCTTATCCCAATGATCAGGATCAGTGGATCCCCATCCCAAGGCTCAGGATCAGTGGATTCCCATCCCGAGGCTCAGGATCGGTGGATCCCCATCCCGAGGCTCAGGATTAGTGGATCCCCATCCCAAGGATCAGGATCAGTGGATCCCCATCCCAAGGACCAGGAATGGTGGATCCCCGTCCCAAGGATCAGGATCGGTGGATCTCTATCCCAAGGATCAGGAATGGTGGATCCCCATCCCAAGGATCAGGAATGGTG